CGATAGCAGTGGGTGGGGAGGTTGGGGAGGGATAGCATTAAAAAAATACCTAATGTAGGTGACAGGCGGATGGATGCAGCAAACCACCATGGTATGTGTATACCTATGTAACAATCCTGCAAGATCTGCACATGTACCCCATAACTTAAAGTATAAAAAAAAAAGAAATTTTAATGCAATTTTAATTAGATTGTTTTAACATATTTTTAAAGAAGTGATTTATTCTTAACCAACTTACATGTAATTCTGTAGTGGGCCTCCCTGACAACAATTACTAGTTATCATTTAGTAATATCCTTCTGTCTGACAGTGATAAATCAAGATGTTCTATTCAAATATTGGCCCCACTCCAAATTATTAATTAATTCCTTTTAAATAAAAATGTTTTATTTTACATATAAATTTGAACGTTTTATTGCTTACTGGTTGCATTTGTTATTTTGAGACATTTTTAACCTGAAACATATGTACTAAACTTATTTTAAAATGACATATTGTCCCATTTTGATTACATGAAACAGGAAACTAAAAGATTAGTTGGTCAACCTATTTATACTCTAAGGTCTTTTATTCTTGATAACAAAAGAATTATCAAAAGTTCTAAAGAATTAGATAAATGTAAGTATTCTCAATTTGAAGAAGAAACAAAGTTGGTTTAAATATTTCTGTCTAAATAATACATCTATTATTGATCATATGTTAAAGATAGACTTTTCAGATGGATGTTTTCAATATTAGACGATTACATTAGCATTGCAAAAAATGGTGGTTTTACAGCTTTTGAAGCCTACCTTTTATGAAAAATATAAAACTACTTTCATAGCAAAAGACGTTGCCATGACAGACAATAAACCACATATTATTATTGGATTTAATGAACTGGTATAGCAATTTCACTTAAATCAATGAAACTATGTATATGCAAATTACTATTGATTATGAAATTGTCATCACTCAACCATTTGTCTTATTAATTTATTTGCTATAATATTTAAAATTTAAAGAGCTATATCAAAAGACTCAGATAAAGATATTTCCTCTCAAAAGGAGAGTAACTTCAGAATAAGTTTATGGCCTTGAGTTTATCATTTATCTCACTTCATGAGAATGAAAATAAGTTACTTATTTTATGCATAATTAATGTTAAAAATCAGAGTGTCAGTGGGCACAAAGTGAAGTATAATTTATTTGAGCAAAAAAATAATAATTGACATAAGGAGCAAAAGTCCATTTTGAGTACTGATTCTGGAAAAATAAAAAGGTAATTTTGATAAAATAATGATCTCAGAAAAAACTGAATATAAAAGAGCTAGAAAAAAAAAGCTGGACATAACCTGTTTGGCCCAGTTTCCTAATAGATGCACTCATTATTTTGAACTTTTACTAATGCTTTTAGGTATTATTATATTCTATGAAATCATCTTTTTATTATTAAGCAAGTGTGAGAAAATTGGTGAGAGTCAACACTCTATACAATTAGAAAGAGTATGATTTAAAGCAGTGACATGTCTTTTTCATAATCTTTAAGAAGTAAAAGAAGAAAAGCAGAATAGCAAAGCATATGTAGGTTCCATTTTGGGGAGTTTTGTTAATTGTATAGTTCAAAACATTCTGTAATTTAAAAAGATTATTGAGCCAAGTTCAGTGGCTCATGCCTGTAATTCCAGGTACTTGATAGACTGAGGCAGGAGGATCACTTGAACCCAAGAGTTGGAGACCAGCCTGGGCAACATAGTGAGACCCTGCCTCTAAAAAAATATGAAAAACTTAGCTGGGCATGGTAGTGCATGCTTGTAGTCCCAGCTACTCAAGAGGGAGGCTGAGCCCAGAAGTTTGAGGCTGCAGTGAGCTATAATCGTGCCACTGCAGTGTAGCATGAGTGACAGAGCAAGACTCTATCTCTTTGAAAAAAAATTATTAATGATGAGAATATAATAACTATGACATGAAATACCTATTTGTGCATGCAAAAGAATAGGAAACCTCCCTGGGATCAAAAATGAGGATGGTTGAAAACCACAGCTGAAGCCATAGACATCTTGAGAGCCTTTGCCAATTCTAGTCTTTGTATTTTAATGGCCATTGAAGACTGGCACTGTGAGAAGCACTTCCCTACACACCATTAGCACTTAGAACAGCTTCTAGCACATTAAACCTGTTCAAAAAATATTTGTTGAATGGAAAATTTGACTCAGTGCCCAGTATAGTACCATGTAAAATTTAACAGAAGGTACTTTTACTTTATATTATCATTTCATTATGCCTGGCAACTGTTGTTAGCACTTTTTGGGAGGAACAATTTGAAAAAACTCTCAAAAGGAATGTTGCATTCAAATGATTATGAATAATTTGGCTGACTGAAAGCTATTTATTCCCAAAGCTAATGACAGCATGCTCACCATGGCAGAATTGTAATATGCTTGCTATAACTGTCTTAATAAAAGCTAAGAAGGTGAAGACCATCCCACCACTGTCCCCAATTATCGGAGGCTAAATTATGCAACCTTTTTTTTGGGCTGTAGTTCTATTATTTTTTACAGAAAGGAGACTGAGAACTTGGTCTGTATTGATAATTACATGATCAATGGATCTGACATATTTGTTTCATCAGAGCCTCTTGTGCTATTAAGGTTTATATCACTCGGCATGTGAGGATAATGGGGCAATTCTACCATATGAATATTGAATGATCCTTTTCAAGGAAAGCAAATTTTGGAGTTTTAAAGATAACAACCTTTCTTTGAAGGATGAGGGAGCTTTTGGCTGACATAGGATTCTTTAATTTCAGTTAGGAAAGGTGATAATTCCTTTTAGTACAAAGCTGTTGTGGTATAAGCCACGAACATACTGTAATTCATTTACATTACATAAGGAAAGCAATTCACAGCCAAGATGAACACAAACAATTCTCTAGAATAGACTGAGGCTCTCCATGCTGCTGTGTCATTAAGCAGCATTATCTTTAAGCCTTAGGATAAGGTACAGGATTAAAATTCAGCAGAGAGCTCACACTTCCTAAACGTGTGCTGCACATAGTGATTTCTTTTCAAAGAGTACAGTATGCAAAGAGGAGGGGGACAGTTTTATGATAGAAAAACCTGACAAACATCACCTAGGCCAGATGACCAAGTTCAATATCAATGGTGATCAATCAGGTTGTAAGTATGGACCTTGAAATTTGATGAAAATGACATTTTTACTTTTACAGTCATTTCCCCGAAAACTCAGTCTATTCATGAGAAAGTGTATTCATCAGATAAATTCCATCAAGGGGGACATTCTACAAAATAACTGAGCAGTACTTCTCCAAACTGCCAAGTTTATTCAAAAGAAGTAAAATTTAAGAAACTGTCTACACTGAAAGAGTCAAAAGAAACAACTGAATGTGATGTTATATCCTGGAACATAAAAAACTGTGAACCTGGCCTGGCGTGGTGGCTCATGCCCATAATTCCAGCACTTTGGGAGGCCAAGCAGGGTGGATCACCTGAGGTCAGGAGTTCAAGACCAGCCTGGCTAACATGGTGAAACCCCGTTTCTACTAAAAATACAAAAAATTAGCTGGGTGTGGTGGCACATGCCTGTAATCCCTGCCACTCAGGAGGCTGAGGCATGAGAATCCCTTGAACCTGGGAGGTAGAGGTTGCAGTGAGCCTAGATCACGCCATGGCACTCCAGCTTGGGCAAGAAGAGTGAAATTCCATCTCAAAAACAAAAGTTCTAACCTAAATAACAGAGAGAGAAGCTCTATGAAAGAAATGATGTTTATTTGGGAATAGGACATTGAAATGGGAATATGCAAACTATAGTAAACTATGTGCATTCAGGGAGGTAAAGAAGAAAAAAAATGAAGAGAATTACTTAATTGTTTTGAAATAATTACCTACAAATGATTTGGCTATAAATCAATAATAAGAGTGACTCCAGTTAGAGGCTAGACAAACGTTGCTGGACAGATGTCCTTGCATTTTTTTGTGTAAGGGCCTTTGTGCAACGTTGTAGATTTTTCATTCTTTTGTGACAGTTTTTGCTATCATGTTTACAAGCATAAGAACCCTCTCTTCATGGCCTTCCCCAGTGCTATCTGTCAAGGTTTGTTTTGTTTTTATAAATACTAGTGACTCCATTTTGATTCTGACAACTTTCCCAAAGGATATCAGATAAAAACTAAGGAAATTTGAATAGAATGGAATTATTTTAGTCAATACTATATTAATGTTGGTTGTTATTACAAATGCAACACACTAATATAAAATTGTTAATAATAGGGGAAGCTGAATTCAGGGTGTATGGGAACTCTTTGAACTCTCTTTACAGTACTTCTGTAAATCTATAGCTGTTTTTAAAAAAATAAAATTTATTTTAAAAATCTGTAGAGATTTTACTACTCATCTTATAAACCAGGATTGAAACCACTTGAGATATTTCAATCAGAAGGAATTTAATATCATCAGTCAGTTACACAAGTGATAGAAGAGCTAAGAAACCAGAGATGATCTGGAATTCACTACCACCCCTAGGGCTAGAGAATCAAAGAGAGGAGTTCATATAGCAGGGTTCAGGAGCTGGCCACCAAGCAAACTCTAGAACTGTAATAAGCCTGTTCAGTGAGAGCTGAGACCACAGAGGAAGGGGCAATCTCATGGGGAACTGGAGCAATGAAGGGGATGCAGATGGTATAAGAAATGCCAAGAGTGGCAGGAAAAAAAAGAAAAAAGGTATTCTGGCTCTTTCAACCCTCTAGTCTTCCTGTGCCTTCCACTGACTAAACCAACTAGAAGTCCAGGCAACATGTGATATGGTTTGGCTTTGTCCCCACCCAAAATATCATATCGAATTGTAATCCCCACAAATCAAATAATCCCTATGTGTCACTGGCAGGACCAGGTGGAGGTAATTAGATCATGGGGGTAGTTTCCCCCATGCTGTTCTCATGATAGTAAGTCTCACAAGATTTGCTGGTTTTATAAGCATCTGGCATTTCCCCAGCTTGCACTCACCCTGTTGTGCCGCCCTGTGAAGAAGGTCTCTCCTTTGCCTTCTGCCATGATTATAAGTTTCCTGAGGCCTCTCCAGCAATGAGGAATTGTGAGTCAGTGAAACATTTTCCTTTTTATATTACCCAGTCTTGGATATTTCTTTGTAGCACTGTGACAATGGACTAATACAGCATGGAAGCCTGGAAAACATAGTTATGTGAGACAGAGAATAAAGGAGGAGAATGCCAAGACTGGATCTGAGAAGAAAACAGCACATAACAAATGCTCCAATCTCTTCTGTAATTAAATCTTTATGCATTATACTGAAAAAGAAAACCCTACCTATTTAAGAAATAAAGTCTTTGTTTCTTTTGCTTCATATGGAAAGCAGAAGAAGAATATAAATTATTTACTTCTGGTGTACTTTAATTGGTGTTTAGTAATTCCTTTCATTCTTTTACTCTCTCCCTACTTCTTATACTCACTTTTTAAAAACATAATGGGTTTTACTCTTTTGTGAAAATTAGCATTTATCTTCATAGGCAGTTTTGCTTCATGTGTTTTAACTTTTGAATAGACTGAAAAGGTATCTTGAATTGTTTTTACTCAAAAGAATCTTGTCATCTCATTGTGGAAGACAAAGTCAAAACTTTGCTCTTATGCTATTTCTTCGAAATAAGGAAAATCAAAGAAACTCTTAGTGACGAAGGACAAGTCGAATATTAATTTTCCTGTATAACCAAACATATTGAGTGTCTGGCATTAAGCAGCATTTCAAATGGGGAGAGTGTTTCAGTGATGTTGATGGGCAGGAGAATTAAGAAGGAAAATGATTCATGAAGTTTTTTGTTGTTGCTTTTTTGAAAATTGTGTAAGTTAAAGTCACCAGATGTTTCAGTTTTGCTGAGTTTTTAACTTTTGTTAAAATTGAGGAAATGTCACTACCATCTGTGAATTCCCTAACCCAATATTTCAGTTGAGACTGATTGTGTGGTTGATATGGACTGAATATTTGTATCATTACAATCCCCAAATTTGATGGTATTTGCAGGTGAGGCTTTTGGGAGGTAATCAGTTTTAGATTAGGTAACGAGATTGGGACACTTATGATGGAATCAATGCTCTTATAAAAAGAGGAAGAGACATGAGATCTCTCTCTATCTCACTCTGCCATTTAAAGATACAGAAAGGAGAAAGTTTGCAAACAAGGAACAGGGGCCTCACCAGACCCTGAATATGCCAACACCTTGATTTTAGACTCCTTAGCTTCCAGAAATGAAAGAAATAAAGATTTGCTATTTAATCCACCCAGTCTATGGTATTTTGTTAGAGCAGCTTGACTGAGTAAGATAGCTGTGATCCACTGTATCTAAACCAAAACAGTACCCACTGTGGTATTTGATGATGTTGAATTTCCAAATTTGTGTTAGAAGCTCTTAGTTGTAGTTCTCTTAACAGTAGAATTTTTTTTTAATGCCCAAGAAATTAGAAGAGATAGTTCATTCTAAGGAATCACAGTTAAGATGAACTTTGATGCCAAGTTAAAGATTTCAAAAATACAAAAGTAGGCAAAGTTTTTCAATCCAACAAGGATTTGAATGGCACTGTGAATATTAGGTACGCATATATTCTTTTATTCAGAGATTATTGTGTTAAGTATCCATATGCTACAAATGTTACAGTATTATTTTTTTCCCAGCAGGCTACAATTATGACAGTGGGAACAAGCTACTGACTACCACACCCTCCTTTCAGAACTAATTTCACCACAGAGCAGGGTTATTATCCTTACTTGGAAATACGCCATGGTAATTTTAACAACATAATTTAAAGAGAAAGATTGTACATCTGAAAATAAAAAAAATAATAAATGTACTTCATTATCATGTCCACGACAACAATGACCAAACTCACATGGGTAAGAGTAAGAAGGGTCCATGCCATACAGAAGTATATACTCTGCATCAAAGCCATGGAAGGTAAAGCAGAAAAATGCCTAAAACTTCTTGCTGGTGATGAGAGCTTTGAATCTTCCACATTAGCCATCTACAAGATTAATATATAGCCTAAAAGCTCTTCCCAATGCAAAACTTAACCTTCGTGCACATTGTAATGACTTTTTCTACCTATGTTCTCTCAAACAACATTTAAACTGCCTGAATAAAAGATTATATATTAAAATTTTAAAAAATATTTTAAACATATTTACACAGCCTACTAAAATAACTTGATACTGTCTTTTATGAATACTTTGTTGCATATAAATCTGTGGCTAGAGTTTAGAAAATCAGAAGTAAAACGAAAATAGTAAGAGTTGTCGTTTGTGAATGCATACTGAATCAGATTCGGAAGAACAGAAGTAACTGAAAAACTAAGGTTGTAACAGATACATCTAGATTATAAAATGTAAACAGTACTTGGAGAAAAGTCATCTCTTTGATCACCCTGTCAAATGTCCTACTTTAATAGTAAATAATGCTGTTTATAACTAAGGAATAGAAAACAAAATTAAAAAGTTGAAAAATTTTATATTACCCAGTGTCCTAGAATTTTTACTGTTTATATTTATGATAAACATCTAAGCAATGAGCTCTGACTTCAGTTGGAATAAAAATAGGTAATATTTAAATGAATTACACTAATCTAATTTTAATTTCAAATCTATTTAGCAACTTAACTGGCTATGTGAATGACTGAATTAATTTCTCTTCATCAAATCCAAATGAATCTTTGAATGTACATGGAAACTTTGGATGTTACTTCATTCCACATATTTTTCTTTTAAAATGAGCTTTTATAACCAGTGATTTTAATAAATGATATAGTTATTTGTGATCATTCTAAAGACAAGAACAACAAAGCATATTCTTATATACCTCTACAAAGTTATTATCCACAGAAAAATGTTGATTCACTCTACTTTATTGGCTTTTGGAAGCAGATTTTCCCTGAGGGTGATCCCTTTTTTAGCCTTCTCTAAGGATAGATATGAATTTAGATTGGGATATTCAGAGCCTAGTAGTGTGTATTGTTGATGCTCAGTATGATTTGCCATTATCTGTTTTTACTAATAACAAGGTGAAGCAGAGCTTGCTTTTGTTTATTGCCATGGCTCCCCAGGTTCCTGCTGTGCCTAGCTGCTTGTCAAAAATTACATGAATTTTTATATCATAGCAAAACAGAAACAAAAAGACCCTCTAATTTACATCAAACAACCCATATTAAAAAAACTACTTGAGCTCTTTTAGAACAAATATGTCCATAAAATGTTAACATATACATAGCAAAGTCCATGAATAGTAAACAGCTAGCTCAATGAGATATCATGACATGAACCCAGGACTGTCACCTGTGTCAAGAAATAACCATTCAAGTTTAAGTCATATCACAATAACCATTGTCAAAAACACTACTAAAATCCTGTTGTTTACAATAAGAACTTTAAAAAAAATGCATGGTTTTATTTTCAAGGTACAAATAGATAAAAGCTTTACATGTTATATGTGCATTAAAAAATTCCCATTTTTAAGTGTAAAAAAGATAGAATAAAAATATAAATATAATTTTTTTTTGGTCCGGCTCAGTTCACACCTGTAATCCCAGCACTTTGGGAGGCTAAGGCAGGTGGATCGCTTCAGGTTAGGAGTTCGAGACAAGCTGGCCAACATGGTAAAACCCTATCTCTACTAAAAATACAACAAGGTGTATTTTATCTATGTGGGCACCCTAGGAGGCTTGAGGTAGGAGAACTGCTTGAACCCAGGAGGCAGAGGCTGCAGTGAGCTGAGATGGTGCTCCTATACTCCAACCTGGGCAACAGAGTGAGATTCTGTTTCAAATATATATATACATATAAGAGCAGGTTTACAATACCAATCAACCTCCTTCTCTTCTCTGACATATATATATATATATATATATATATATATTTGTTTTTACATATATATATTTGTTTTACATATATATATATATATATATATATATATATATATATTTTTTTTTTTTAAGAGCAGTTACCTGTGATACATATAGCCACTCACCTTTTGACTGTGGGTCAGCTGCTGCAGACTTGCTCACAAGTACATCAATCCCCATCTCTTTCTTAGGCTTTCAGGGTCTCCATGCCTCTCCCTAAATATTAAGATGATTCTCTTTCACTGAAGTGATTCTATTCAATTATACACAGACTTATTGGTAAAAATGAAAAATTAACATTCTTTTCATGACCACAGATTGTTCAGGGAAAGGGACTTGACGTAGGTAGCAATTCTCTTCTCTTCCAATACTTACTTTGCCAGAGAACACTGAAAAATACCTCCATAGCAGGCTTAAAGAGCTTTTTGGCCAGTTTATATCTGATAATGCCTCCTTCTAGTGAACATATGGACCCAGTGATCTGCAGCATTAATCAGCAAGGTCATATTTTTTCATTCCCTCTAGATTAATTTGTGTAAGTTTGAAAACGGAATGGAGCAAAAGCATAGTCTTCCTTAGTTTTACAGCTTATATCATGATCATTCTTTTTTATACTTGTCATTTTCTAAGAGCTCTATTTGAGAATACATGAAGCCAATCTCCTCATACTCAAAATGAGAAATGACAAGCTAAATTTTGATTCCATCATAATCAATCACCTTCTGATAACTTTAGAGGAAGAAGCAATGGCCAGGCCAGACCAGGAGACTTTCCGTAGAGTAACATGTTTTTATCTGCTTCTCCTATGACTGGGGTGGGGAATGAGTAGTTCGGAGGTAGTTTCAAATTTCTGCTGGAAATTTGAAATAGTGCTGGCATTAAAGAGAGAAAGCTCACCAGAAATAAATAGTGCAGATAATATCTAAGTATCATTCATGAGATAGAAACTAAAGGAACTTCACTTAAAAAAGTACCAATTCTAAGTTTTTCTATACATGATCTTATAAAATAAACAACTTCTGTTAATTTGGGTATGGCAAAGAGAGGGGAGACATCTTGATTATTGGTGAATAATCTTCCTACGTCATTCCTCATACCTCTCTTTGTCTCTTGGCATGAAAGGATATTGATAACCCTTTGTTAGAACCATCTTTACTTTCTTCAACAGTAGATTGGCCTCTTGGAAAGGGCAGTAAGTGTTGGTTCTCACTGCTTTCTTTACATTTTTCATAAATTGTGCTCTATCTGACCAAATTGCCACAAAGTTTTTGCATTGTTGGGAATTTATTTTTATGTTTAATGTTAACAATCTTAGCTACCTTCATGGCTAGGATGTTTCCCTTTGTTTCCATCATTCTGTGAGATTTGATGAGTTGGAGAAGAGAAGAAGGTTGATTGGTGTTTTGATCCTACTCTTAGATCTTTGAACATCTCTACATGTTTTACAACTGTTTTTTTCTTTCAACTTTCTACAAGAGAAGAAAAATTAAATTCAACACAACTAGATGCTAAGAAATTCCATTAGACTCATATAATTTTCTCTAATAAGAAGCAGATTGATAAACTGATGGGAAGTAAAAGTTTTATATTTTATTTGTTATTATGTTACTATGCACTTATTATATTAATAAATTGACAACAAAATTTTTTCCTTTTAGTGCTATTTATTTATTAAAGAGTATAGTAATTAATGCTGTGTGTGTGTGTATGCACGTATATATATATAAAAGATTTGGATCCACTATAAATATTGATATATGTATTCTAATAATGTGACTATATTGAGAATAGGTAAGAAATTGTATGAGTTTATATTAAATTTAGGATTACTTAAAATTTTCCTTTGGGGCTTGGACATACTATATAACTGGCTTCAAATAAGTAATATCAGCAAAATGGACAAAATGTTTGAAACAAACTGAGTAAAGTATATTTTGCACAAGAAAAATAGTATGGGAAAAAACTTTAAATATAAAAAATATCTGGTTCACTTATAACATTCTTACTGAATACCAGCTATCATCAGCCACTGTTTTAGGCACTATTTTTGCTCCCCTCTAGCTTACATTCTAGTTTAAAAAAAGGTGGATGTAGACAAGTAAACAAAGTAACATCTGGTAGTGATAGTTGCTATTGAAAAATAGAATAAAGAGTTTGAAAGTGATTAGTGGGAGAGATCCTTTTAGATGGATAGTTAACAAAGATCTAAAGAGAAGCCAATAATAACAAAAGAAAAAGATTGGAAAATGAGTTGGAAGAGACAGATCTAAATGAGGTAGGCCATTTTAAGAACTTCAGATATTTTTTAAGTTTACTGAGACCATTGCAAAGTTTTAAGCAGGGAAGTGACATGATATGATTTATATTTTTGATACGATATGATTTATATTTTTAAATATTATTCCAGCTACTGGGCAGAAAATACACAGCAGCGAGGCAAAAGTCCTGGAAACAGCCAACTCAGTTAGGAGGCTATTGTGATAGTCCAGGTTAGATATAGATGTGATTCCACAGAGATGAAGACAAACTATGAGATCATTGCATATTTTAAAGACTATACTGTTAAATTGGAAGTGGCTGGAGTGATGATTCAGCTCAGGGGAAGGGAGAGGAAAGTGATTAGTAGCTACGGGAAGAAAAGAACTAGGGATAACTGGTAAGTTTATAGCCTAAGCCAGTGAAGGTATGAATGAAAAAAAAATCACAGTGAACTACAGGCAAAGTATAAGTAAACTGTGTAGAATAGAGGCCAACCTCAAAGTAATGCTCCTTAAGTTTGGATTTTTCACTCTTTTGTGGAATATTCTGTTCATTGGATCCTGAAATATAAAAGAAAAATATAGAAACTGAAAATCATACATATTATTGTTATAAAAATTAAAGAAATGAGGATAATTTAAAATGGCAATATAGCTAAAGGGTAACAATAAAAGACAATGCAGCTAACTTATGGCACATTAAAGTATATGTTCATTTTTTTAAAAATAATGGCTGATACAGCAAAAGTATTCAATTTAGAAATACTGTGTAAATCTATCTACAAAGAGAAGTTATCAAAAATATTTTTGATTTTGCAAAACAACTGAATGTAATTACAATAATAAAAAAGATAACCACAAAAATAACAGTCAATTCAAGTACCAGGTATTCAGTAATTACTATATTACAGGAATATTGCTAAATACTTTCCATATATTATCTCATTTGATCTTTAACAAATCCTCTCAGAGAGGTATTATTTTCTAGACTTCACAGTTAAAATAATTAAAATTGAAGAGGATAAATAATTTGTTCAGGATAACATAATTATTTAATGTCAAGGCACAAAGGTCTTAGTCTCCAAAAAGTACCATCAACCAGCTATTTAAGAATGGTTTAATTTGACAACTTTGGTATGACTAGATGTCAACCTAAATATTCAGAGAGGCTTTTTAAATGAAAATTATATTTATTCAGAAATAGGGCATTGCAATGGGAATATGTGTGCTATAGTAAACTATGTGCATATTCAGAGAGGTAAAGACAACGATTTTTAAAGGAAAATGAGGAGGATTACATAAATGCTTTGAGAAAAACTATTCTTGGCTACAAGGACCAATTAACAAGGGTAGAGCTAGTTTGAGATTAGACAGGCAGCTATTGGGCAGATGACCTTGAAGAAGTATTGTTTGTGTTAGGTTTTAATGCCCTTTGTGCAAGGTAGTGGTTTTTGCAGAGTCTTTTATGATAGTTTCACTATTAGGCACACGAGCTTGAGAACCCTCCTTTTATGGCTTCTCCAGCTCTATTTGTCAGGGTTATTATTATTTTTTTAGCACAAGTGACTTCATTTGGATTCATACAACTTTCACATTTCCCCCTGTTGATCAAGATCTTTCTCTAAAAGCATCAATGATCAATCATCTATTAGTTAGGTTTTCATAGTTCCTTTATGCTGGATGACCCTGTCCCAGGTTGCTGGTCTGATACCACATTGGCAAAAATGATTGGCAACTAGAGGTCTGCGTCAAAACCCTTTTAGCCACCTTTGAGCAACAAGGAAGCTTGAAGGGAGTGACCCTTAGACTAAATCTACCTGGATTTCATTATTCACTTCAACTTTATCTCTTCAACAGTCTTTCGTTATTATCTCAAAGAGCTGGGCCAGCATTATTCTGGTAGAAGTTGTATTTCTGCAAAAATATAACAAGAAACAGGTACACATTTTTTTAAAGAGAAAATAAAGAGTAAAATTAATAGTAATATAATAATATGAACCGAAGCTTAAATGCAGCCAATGAAATAAATTAAATGACTATTACTTGTCAAGTGAAGAGGATAGCATTAAGGGGAGTAAGAGTCTCATTTTTATATGGATTCTTGTTCCAATGTCTTTGGAAAGCTGTCTATAGCATGAAAATGCCCTTGGAATATCTCTATTTATGGCATTAAACAGTTTGTGAATATTTGAGTGGCCTATATATCAGACACAGAATTTTTCCTTAAAATTTATCTAGTTTTACCATATAAGGCTAGAGGAAAGAAGAAGTGTCTATTTTTGGTAATTCCATGGAATAAAATTGGATTGGAATCTAAAAAATTCAGGATCTAGTCTGATCCTAGGAGAAGACAAAAACTCAACAGTAATGCACAGAACTATTATCTAACAACAGGCACATTATAGCTTTTCTTTAGAAACATCTATTTTTCTCTACAATGATCACATAGCAATCTCACATTTAGAAACCTCTTGAAGCAAGGGAGACAAACTAATGCAGACTTCAGGTTTTATTTAGAGTCTTAGAGTTCCTAGACTTGTGAGGAAATTATGATTTTTACTGATTCATTATAAAGTTGGAGACCCTTCATGTCAGGTTTTTATGCATATTCTCAAAAATGATATTCCAGTCAAAGCCTTGGTAATATACCGAATTGTTAGAATTACATCCTGATATAGAAACCAAATTTTTATTGAACTTATGCAAATAATAATATTGCAATAAAAAAACAAGAATAGTCATGATTAATTTCCAAGTTTTAGAGGGATTAAGTATGGAAAAAAAGCAAAAACGCTTCCACCTTTGTTTACAAAATATACTTTACCAAATTGTTTTAAACTAGTGATAGCTTAAGGAAAAAAATCCTCAATTCTGGAAAACAAACCATTCAAGTTAATAACCAGTACTATACCATATAAGTCATAAAAACATTATGTTCAAGTTTCATGAACCGATCAATTTCTTTGTTAAAATTCTGAAAAAATAACTCACTTAGTCTATTGATCTTAAGTTATTTGAGCCCTGTATTTAACAGTACTTGCTAGAGTCTTTTCTATAAGTCTGATGACTTTGGAGAAAAATTAAAAACATGGATGACAGAGACTTAGAATAACCATGGCCAAAAATCTCATTAAAGTTCACTATAACCAGAATGACAATGAAATTTGGTTATTTTTGTAGCATACAATATAATAACCAGAATTATACCTGACAAATTAATTTCTAAGAATTTTATGTGATTTTGGAACATTAATGCCAATAACATACCCATAAATGGCATTGAAGAAAGATCTCCCATTACTTATCCTTTAATAATGCTTCCCATGCAAATAATCCTAATTATGTAATATTTTCATAAAATAAGATATACATTCTCTGAGGCTCTCCAGGGCCCACTTAAAAAATCTCAAAATTAATCCTAGGTCAAAGATTCTTAATTTAAAATTTTGATCCTGGGGAAGTCGGCCAAAGATGTCAAAACTTTCAAACACTTGACCAAAATAGGATTACTGTGAAATAATAGTCATTAATTTAACTAAAGTGATAATCAAGGGACATCAAAAGCAATACAGAATGTTACATCAGTGTAAAAACCTTAGTCCTTTTAATGCTCAGTTTTCCTAAGTAATGAAAAACTAACAAAAATAACACATCTTGATAAAATAAAAAAGCCTTATTTCTTAGATCAGTTACCAAAAAGTTAAAGAAAAACTTCCTGCAGTGTGATTGCTTCTCCTTATTGAAAGCCTATTTTAATAACCTAAAAGTTGAACCTGATGAAAAGTATACTTGAATTTAATCAGACACAATAAGAATATGTCTAAGGTTATGAGTGTACACCATGTTATAGAAGAATGTAAATAAGAAAACTAGTACCTTAATCAGAGTAATATCTGGCCCTTAGTAACAGCCTGAAAAGTCTTCTGGTTACACGAAACAATTCAGACACATCCAAAAAGGCCAAGAGCACAGAATCAAGTTATACTGGAGGAAAACCTTGTTTTTCTGGGCCTTTAAGATAACATTTTACCATCAGGCCATACCAGCAGAGTTAGAGAGAAAAGTTACAGGAACTGGTAACAGTTATCATCCTGGATCTTCTGAAGGGGAGACTTATTATCTCAGACTTTCTCACCAGAAGAAAGAGGAAGAGCAGAAGGTTACAAAGTATGTCTTGCAAATTACATGAACTGAGAAACAGCAAGTTAAACTTCTGTGATTTTAACTTGACAAACTTTAAGAACAAAACTTTACACAGAGAAATGAAATTACCATTATGAATGAAGAAAATGGCATTTGCAATATGAAAATATGGAAATTAAATAGATCCTGGAATGAAATATGGCAGGAATAGAAATTATTTGCAGTTTCAAAGGTGACTATTAATGAAACATTTCAGAATTGTAGAACAAAAACCTCTTGCAATATTATTGAGATCAATATTCAAGAAATTTTTGTTGTTTTAACATAAAGAAATAAATTTTTAGTTTGTATTAGTATGCCTTTAATATCAAAGCACAATCTTTAGAAAATTTAATAATTCCCTTCTAATTATAGCCAACTTGATCACTCACAAATTTCTCTCATAAATTCATCTTTCACAAACTTTATCACAATTTAGATCTTTGATGAAATGTTTAGACTTCATGCTTTGTTCTGTACTTCCTCTTTCTGAAATAACCAGTCATTTTACTTCAGAACAAAAATTTATCACACAACATTCTTTCTCATACAAAATCATTCTCATTTCTTTCTGAACATCCTTACCAAAAATACATCTTCATATCCATAACTTGTTTCAACATCTCTTCCTCCTACTTACTAGTTCCTTTCTATCTTGTTTCTATTTCCTTCCTAAATTTGCTTTTGGAAACAACCTTTAAATAACCTCCATATTATACAAAATAATTCTTTTTCTTAATAGAAAACATATTTCTATGCCTTATTTAATAATTTTTCTTACCAAAAACATGCTATCTGTCACATATCAGTGTTCTAGAGATAAGGATCATTTTATAATTTTTAGAAACATTTTCCCCATAATTTTATGTGTATTAATAGACCCAAATATATTGAGTCCTTCTATAATTGCTTATTGAGTTTACTTTATTTATTGATTTATAATATGAGGAAACTGGTCTGAGGGTGATGCAGTGGGTTTATACATGCCAGGGGCCTCTCAAGTTAGATCTCTTGTTCTTTTTATTTTTTAAATTGACTAATAATAATTCTTTATATTCATGGGGTAGCTAGTGATGTTTTGATACATTTAAAGTATAGTAATCCATTCAGGGTAGTTAGCATACCCATCATGTCAAACACTTATCAATTTTTTTGTTGTTGGGAAGAATCAATTATCTCCTTCGAGCTATTTGAAATTATATGTTATTGTTAACTATAGTAATCCTATAATGTTATAGAACACAAGAAGCTAAGAACAAACATATTTATGCTCAAAAATTTGTTTTAATTTTTAAAATCTTATTAAAAATGACCCATATATTTAATGAGTAGCTATCATTTAACATAACATAGCTTTAAAATGTCAAATTACATGAAAAACTCATTTATAGATGGTAATCTCATTTACCTGTACCTAATATATTTACTTCGATCAATTTACCTAGATTACTTATGGAAACTGATGTATTAGACAAGGCTAGTCATTATTGCAAGTTATTTCTCTGTTAATCATTTTTATAGTTTTTAACTGTCAAGTGTTCACCTCAGAACTTTAAATATTGAGTAATTTGTCAATAACTCAGAAGATACAGCTGTTTTTATTAAACCAATGATATTAAATTAGCCATATTTATCAAAGAGTTACAAAAACAAAGATCATTCTGTTTTTAGGCTAGGTTTATAGTTTTATGAATTTAAAACATTTAGTAGAGACAAATATAAAACTGTCTGACCAGTCAATCTCGGCAATAATGTATGCTGACAATTTTAAAGCCACTTGCATTTTTGTTTTACCAATAATTTTAAAACCAGCTTATTTATTAAAAATTTACCTCACTCACAAAAACTAAAAGACATTTGGCTTAATTTATATTGTATATCTGTTCATCTACTTAAGCTGATCTGAATAGAATATTTTCAGAGATTTCTGTCCAACTATATCAGATTTTATTTTGTAGATAAAACATATAACACAGGTACATACGCATGAACACAGCTAAACACTTCTACACGTATACAAGTAAAGATCTTATAGCTTTAAATATAAAATTTTAGTCATGAAATAGTAATACATACTCATCAGTTTAAAAGAGTAGGATCCAAATTACATTTCTGACAAAATGGAACCTCTTTACATGGCTAATGTTTATTTGACCTGTTAGGTAGTCTGATAAAGGCTGTGGAGCAAAATTTAGATAAAGGAGTTGGCTTGGTTTTTTTTAAACAAACAAAAATCTCTTTTTTTTTTTTCTTTTTTCAGTTTCAAATGAGGTCAGTTTAAATTTTTCATGTTTGAATTTTAGCTAGGACTGGCTGAATAGCATAAGAAAAACCAAACCTTCAAGTACCCTTGAATTTTCAGTGAGGAGTCTATCTTTTGTTTGCTGGTCTGGTTTGCTTGACTAGTCAATGCAGGCATAAAACCATTTCAGCAGTTTGTCAATGTTTTCTGGCCTCTACATGGCAGACAAAGCAATTTTTATTCTGGACAGAGACACCTTACATTTTTGCTCCAATTTCAAGATTTTGACCTGTATAATCTGAGAACTTAACTTTTATACACATTTATCTGGCACTTTCCTTTCTTTCTTTCTTTCTTTTTCATACTATTAATCCTTCCTGTAAGTGTTCTATCACCCTAAGCAAGTGTTACTCAAGCAAACCTAAGGCTACATCTTCAAAATGTATCTAGGTTGATCGTTACCATGGAATTGTTATAATCTGTAAGGCCATTAATTTGAAAGTTCTTTACTTTTTTTAAAAAAATCTTAGCCAAAATGCCAATGGCCATAAGCTTGATGTCAACACCAACAGAAAAGTCAGCAGATTCAAAGTACACAGAAAAAAAAAAAAGATAACTTAGGAGGATCTACATGTAAGAGTTTTTTTTTTATAGAGAGTTTAGATAATGACCACTGAGCTCTGAACTTTTCTTAATGTAATTTGCCCATCATTTAAAAAATATGCATGACAGCCACAGTATACAGGTGGCTGAAGTCCCAGAAAACTTGGCATGCCTTAATGTTTTAATCCAGACATGCAGATAAAATAAAGTATTAAATTAGGCATCCAGAGAGAACCAAAAATAAGTTCACCAGAAAAGACATGCCTCGTACACAGAATGTAAATTCTACAGAAATCATAGTACTCAAACCAGAAGAACGCTTGTTCTTAGACCATAAAGTACTTTTCAGAAAATACAAAAGACTTTTATTATCTCAGGAGAAATATAAGGTCCTTTATTAAAGTGGCCTTACCCAAATCAGATTCCAAATAATGTCTAGAGCTTCTACCAAACAGAAGGGAGGGAGGCTCAGCCTCAGAGAAGACGCACCAGGGGAGAAAAGGTGAGTTGAGGAAGTGGAGTGCTGAAAGGGCTCAAGTGAATTCTTCAATCCCTTTCTAAGAGTTGCCAGTTCTTTTCTAAAGTGATCTTGTGCCAGATCCCACTTCTGGACACTATGTCAACTTTAAAAACAAATAGAGAGTGGCTGTATAAAACAAAAATATATTTATTTGGGTATAATAGGACTGCAATGGGACTACACATGTCATAGTAAACTGTGTGCGTATTCAAAAAGGTAAAAGAAGACAAAAAAAATTTAAAGAAAAAATGAGGAAGGTTACATAATTCTTTTTGAGATAATTATCCTTGGCTACAAGGATCATTAACAAGGATTGAGCAATGCCAATATTAGACAGGCAGTTGCTGGGAAGATGTCCATGCAGAAATTTTTTTTGTGTGTAAGTTTGCAAAATTGTGGCTTTTGCAGTCTTTTGTGATAGTTTAATTAGACATAGAAGTGTGAGAACCCACATTATATTGCCTCTCCTAGCTCTGTTTATCAGGATTTTATTTTGTTTTTAACACAAGTGACTTCATTTTGATTCTGAAAAATTTCACAATGAACAGCAGATCTTAGAGCTTAAAGTATTCATAAAGACAAATTTGTCCATTCAAAGAACCAACACATTGTCAATGCCTGCCATTCAAACACCACCAGGGACACACCCATAGTTAAATAGTTGCTTTTATTTTTGTTGCAATGAGGGAGAACCTACACCACAGCAAATGCTAAGGTAACTTAGTAAGAGGTATGAGAAAGACTTATTTTAGGACTTGGGCTTTGCGTTAAGTGACTTGACAGGATTTTAAAAGTTGAGCATTGCTCTGGCATGGATGCTGTCGGAAAAAGGAGGATAATTCTAAGATTGTATATCACAATAAATCTAGTCTAGAAGATGAGCAAAATGAAATGAAGCTAAACCCTAACTGGTAAAGAAGCAGCAGTCACACACGTTAGACAGGATATGGAGCTGTTTGATCATTTTGGTGGTTTGAACAATACTCATGATTTGTCTGTGTTCAGATATGATAACACAGTGGTTTTGTTTCTGCCTTGATTTTTCATGGCCACAACCTTGTTTGATGTCGGGGTGAAACAGCACATGACCAACATGAGAATACTATGATATAGTTATGAGTGGCAACCCAGCTGCTGCATGTCAGAAGCAGTTTTTCTTTCTAGCATTGATAAAAATAAGTGATTTCTCCATGTGAATGTGCTCTCTCCTTAATCTTGGCAAAGATTCATTTTGTTTCTTAATTTCAGGTAATAGGAATTTAGTATACACCCCCATGGTGTTGCATTGGCAATGATAGAACTTTTCTTAAAAACACACAAATTTGTTATTTTAAATACAGTGCCACTCAAAAATATATTTGTTATCAATGTTCATTTTATTTTTCCAATTTTAAGATATTTTTTTTGAAATGAAGGAGGCAATTGTTTGCGAAAATTCATTTAAAAAAATTTATTTTAATTCAGCAGCTGGAAGATAAAATTATCTTACTTTTTTGATACTTTGTAGAATCTACTAAAATAACATAAAAATATAGAATATATAAAAATATATTATTTCCTATATTTCAAATGTAGTATGTATGATCTTTTGTAAAATAAAACATTTTTATTTTGAGAAATTCAGACTAGTGTAATTATAAAAGATTACAATTTAGAATATGAAAAAATACCTATTTCCATCTGTCAGAGAAAAATCACTATTAATAAACATTCTATTGAATGTATAAAGCACATATGTATATATTTGTATCTATACATATCCATACAGCTATACACTATATAGTGTATAAAGAAATCACACTATCCATACAGCTATAAAGCAAATATAGCACATGCAAGGCAATTCTATTTTGTTGATATAGATTATTGACCCAATTCCTTATTGTTTTGATTAAGTTAGGCCCTTCGGATAATTTCTCACTTTTAAAATAATGCTTTGCATATTTGTCTGATTATTTTTTTAGATGTTACATTGCTGGAACCAACCATTTCTATGTTTTATATTTTGGTACTTACCACTGTCAGATTTTATCTGAGGAAGATCGTAGAATATATAGTAAAACAAGTGAACCAATGCTTATTTCTTCGTGTACTCGCTAATATTTGACATTAGTCACTATTTTATTTTTGTCACTATTTACATGCAAGTGAAACCAAAAGTTTCTTCAGCAGGTACATCAGCATCTCCTGGGATCTGATTCGTAGGGAAAGCTGCCTGAGACAGAAGCAATAGCGGTTCAGTACACCTACCACCCTTGCCTCCTTGCCCTGTCACAATCTGAGGCACTGGGCAGTGATCTGGCAGGAAAGAATATCAGCTCAGTGAGAGTCCCTGACCCACAAACTGTGTGGCTTTTAAGTCTATGATTAGGGAATCATCTAGCTCTCCCCTTGTAGGATCAGGGACCAAGCTATAGTAGCAATATAGTCATCCCCTCCCTGACTCTTCCCAGCAAACTCATGTGTCTGGGGTTGAAGCCTTTCATTACAGTTAGTTATCAGAGCAACCTGGTGACAGGATTCACATCAGCTTTCATTAGCTGTGAGAGTACCAAGCCTTCCCATGAGGTCCAGTTCCTGGGGTTGATCAGGACTGACTGCCTTAAGTACTGGAACCCTACCAGTTTTGGGGAGCATTGCTAGGGTAGGTGAAGATTGATTTTCTGGAAAGCCAGCTTGCAGAGATTCATAAAGCACAAATTATCCCTTGACTCCCAATATTATCAATAAAAAATAATATCTCATTATTAAAGTTTTGGTTTACTTATTAGTATGATTACTTGTCCACATACCTAGTTATTTGCATATATTCCTTTGTAAATTCTCCATTGATGTTTTGCATTTCACACAATTGATCCTTTGTTTTTCCTTGAAATCCTTTTGGTTTCTTTGCATTGGCAAAACAGTACTTCACTTAGTGTTCTTTGTCAGTCTCCTTCGGTGCTTCCTTTTATTCTCCCTGACCTCTAAATATTGGAATATCCCAGAGCTTGGTTCTTCGCCATCTCCTCTTCATCTGTAATCCCTCACTACTGACTTAATTTGGCTGTATGGTACAAGATACTATCTATGTTCTGATGATTCCCAAATGTTTATCTTCAGCAAATCTCCTCTGAGCTCCAGAGGAGGCCATATCTCATGGCCCTACTTGGACATTTGATAGAAATCCTAAACTATTGTATTAGGGTTCCCTAGAGAGACAGAACTAATAGGATAGACGTATATATGAAGTAGAGTTTATTCATGAGTTTTGACTCACACAATCACAAGGTAAAGTCTCGCAATAGGCCTTCCTCAAGCTAAGGAGCCAGGAAGGCAGTCCGAGTCCCAAAACCTCAAAAGAAGGGAAGCTAACACTGCAGCCTTTGGTCTGTGGCCAAAGGCCCAAGAGCCCCTGGCAAACCACTAATGTAAGTCCAAGAGGTCCAAGAGGTCCAAGATTCCAAAAGCTGAAGAACCTGGAGTCTGACGTTCAAGGGCAGGAAGCATCCAGCACAGGAGAAAGATGGAGGCTGTAAGACTTAGTCAGCCTAGTGTTTCCAGGTTTTTTGCCCGCTTTTATCCTAGCCATGCTGGCAGCTGATTAGATGGTGCACGTCCAGATTTCGAGTGTGTCTGCCTCTTCCAGTCTGTCCACTCACTCAAATGTTAATCTCCTTTGGCAACATCCTCATAGACATACCCAGGACCAATACTTTGCATCCTTCAATCCAATCAAGTTGACATTCAATATTAACCATCACAACTATCTCTGTCCTAGATCAAACTCACCATCTTCTCTTCTCATGCTTCTCTCTCAGGCTTTCTTCCTCATGTCAGCAAATGTTACCACCCAACTCATAGCTGCACAGGGGAAAGACCCGAGAATCCACCTTGATTCTTCTTATACTTACATATAGTTGATTTGAAATGCCCAAAGACATGAACTCCACAATTCATCTCAGATCAGATATCTTTTCACCACATCCACTCTTAGTGCCTGTAGTCCAAGCCACCATTCCACAGTACCCTCCTAATCAACCTTCTGCATGTCCACCTCTGCCTCTACTTTCCACAGAGAAGCCCAAGAGACACTTTGCTCCCCAGGGTTTCTCTACTTCAGCACTGTTGCATTCTAGACTGGACAGTGCTTTGTTAGAGGTGGAAGCTGCGCCCACATTGTAGTATATTTGGTGGCATCCCTGGCCTCTACCCACTAGATGACTAGATGCCAGTGACAAGTCCCAACTTGTGACGACCGAAATTTCCTCCAGACATTGATAAATGTCCCCTGGGGGACAGACAAAATCACTCCAAGTTGAGAACAACAACTAAAGGTTTTCCTTCACATACTGATAGAATCCTAGTTCCTTTTTAACCTGCCAGCTTTAATATGACCCTATCACATCTCCCATGACTCTTCCTGTGTTCAGTCTGCTTTAGGACACTGGCCTCTTGTTTTTCTGGGAACTATAGATCTTTCCCTTTTCATGGGCTTGTGCTTGCTCATTCATCTGACTTATGTGACTTTCTTCCAAATCAGCTCATAGTTTACTCTCTCATTTCACTGGTCTCTGCTACAATGCCATTTCCTAACCACCCTGTATAAAATACCTTTCATTTTTAATCATTCTCCCTTTATCCTGCTTTATTCTATTTAGGTAATTGTACCTATTTTATATTGTATTACTTAAATGTCTTTGTATTATTTGGCTTCCTAAATATATCAGCTCCATAGAAGATGTTACCTTCTTCATGCCTAGGCAACAATAACCCAGAACCTAGTATCTTATTAATGAGTAATTGTTGAATAAATGAGTGGTTGAAATAGTGTAAAAATATTTCAAACTATTTTTCACTGTGTAAATAAAAGTGAGAAAGATGTACAAAGTCATTTTTGTATTTATTTCAGAGGTAGACAGACAAGAAATATTTTTATATTAACAACCCCAGAAGGAAGAACTGAGAAAAAAATATCATTTTCAAGCCATGACTCAGAGGATAGTTCATAATTATAAATCA